TGAAAAAATTTATTGTGGGATTTTCACCTTGGACTTTGATTTTGATACAACACCCACAGAGTACCATTTCCAAAACAAGTCACACATTAACCCCCTTGACTGCCAGACCAATCGGTTTCAGTTATGACAGCTGTAAAGCTGCATCTTTAGGTTTTATCTTTATGAGTTTTGAAACACAGTGGTTTTCTTGCAGATTTGAAACTGTAAAAGTCATGCCTCTCTTGGAATTTGTAGCTGGGAGCATTTCAGGTAGGAAAATCCTGTTTTTAAGAGAACAGCAGAAAATGTAACACAGAGCAGTAACTGTCTGATTGTGGAGAAATAAAATGTTGTTGTTGGTTGTTATAGGTGCACTGGGACTTGCAGTAGGACATCCGTTAGACACTGTGAAGGTTGCATGACACTTTGAAACCAATAAATATGACTTAATGCACAAATTGTTTCTTATTTTTTATTTTACATCTCTTCTTACATTTGTAGGTACGTCTCCAAGCCCAGTCTGTGTATAAAGGGATATTTCACTGTGTGATTAAAACATACTCTCATGAAGGGGTGGGTACCACATTTTTCCTACATTGTTTTGCAAGAAATACTGACGTGAAGTAGTGTAATGCTCCACTGGGATAAGACAGCACTGATCCTTTATGCTTTAATCACATCAGCTCCATGGATTCTTTAAGGGCATGGCATTTCCTGTGCTGACCACTGGCATCTCCAACTCCATTGTCTTTGGCTGTTACAGTAATGCTTTAGGTTACCTCACTAAGTCTCAGCACAGTCGAGGCAAACCGGCCTCTGCTGCACAGGTCTTCACTGCTGGCTGCTTCTCAGGCCTGGTGCAGGTAAGATAACCTGATGTTCTGTGGTTGCACATGTCACTGCCATGCAACTGTGTATGCACAAAGCTTCATCTGTTAGAGCTGCGGGAGACCACACACGTTGCAAAAATCACTGCTCACACCAACATTCTAGCTGCAAGCCACGAGATACAAACATACCTACAGAAGAATCTCGACCAAGTCCGTTTGAAGTACTTTATCAGCCATCACTGCATCAGTGTGACTGCATTAGGACAGGCTTTGGCAGTGTGATAGCACTGCAGTTATGTAAGATATCCTATCTGTTCAAAGTATTGGATCACCTTGACGTTACACCTATAGCAGCTGTTGAGCCACAGAAACCAAGGCCACGAAGCTTCCATACACAGTTTTTTGTGCTGATGTTAAAGCCAGTGAGGTTTGGAGCGCTGCTGTTATTGAATCAGAGTGTGGCAACTTCTACACACTCTTTCCTAAATGCTTCCACTCTGGATTAATAACACTTAGAGCTGATCGTGGAACAGACTTGTTGCAGTGGTGGCATCCTCTACAGTACCGTGCACAAATTCAGAGGGACTGAAATCAACTGGAATGTAACCATTTAAAGTTGTGGCATATAGTCATAAAACCATGCATGTAGGTTAGAACAAAAACAGTCAGCTATGCATCTGAAGAAGGGAAGTAGTAATAAACTAATAAAAGTACATTTTGAGGAAATATTGTGGAAATACAATTTTTGACATATCAGGACATTAAAAAAAATATTTTCATTAGCAAGTCTTAAAATGAGTTAAATAGCACTTCAGAACAACAACACATGACATATTACACTGTGTCATCATTTATTCAACAGAAATTCAACAGAGAGGAAAACAGCAGTGTTAGGTGGTGTAATTCTGCAGAGAACAAAAGAAAAAACAAACAAATAGACAAAAAACTGCATTAAAGCTGGTGCTCTTGCCAAAGTAAATGCTGAAACAGCAGGATTATCACTGCTTTCACAGAAATTCAAGTTTTGTTCATGCAATGTTACATCTGACCACAAGGGGGCCTCCGAGTGTTCACTGACTGCAGCTCAGAATCAGAAAAGAGATTTAGGGAAATTAAAAAACCAGCTCATGTTTCATAACTGAGATTTATTTACTCTGCAGACCATGACTGGGCTTTACGCTACTTTAATCTTCTCCTCTAAAAAAACCTGATGCACCAAGTAATATGGATCTGTTAACAGTACTTCTACTTTAATACAGACTTTCAGCAGTAGTTGTGTATTTTATGTTGCACCAGCCACACTGGCCTATTTTATTTCCAGGGATATAAAAACATTAAAAACCATTAAGAAGTTGTTTTTGTTTGTTTGTTTTTGGTGGACTGAATCTTTGAGGCAATCAGGACCAATCAGATGAAAGGAAGAAAAATAGGGTCAAAATT